GTGGGTCAGTTGAGCCAGTGGGTTAGTTGATGCCCAGTGGGTTAGTTGAACCAGTGGGTTAGTTGAACCAGTGGGTTAGTTGAACCAGTGGGTTAGTTGAGCCAGTGGGTAAGTTGAACCAGTGGGTTGGTTGAACCAGTGGGTTAGTTGAGCCAGTGGGTAAGTTGAACCAGTGGGTAGTTGAACCAGTGGGTTAGTTGAACCAGTGGGTTAGTTGAACCAGTGGGTTAGTTGAACCAGTGGTTAGTTGAACCAGTGGGTTAGTTGAACCAGTGGGTTAGTTGAGCCAGTGGGTAAGTTGAACCAGTGGGTTAGTTGAGCCAGTGGGTAAGTTGAACCAGTGGGTAAGTTGAACCAGTGGGTTAGTTGAACCAGTGGGTTAGTTGAACCAGTGGGTTAGTTGAACTACCCCCTGTAACCAGGCAACGCCCTATAGTTGTAATCAAGTGACCAGAAAGTATGCAAGCTCCACCCATTTCTCATTGCCTGTGAAAGAGAGATCCTCATTGTGTTCTAGTAACTACAAAGGTTTACAAAAAAAACGTTTTTTGCTTGTCAAAGTAAATTTCTAGATGTCAGCTTATCGGCTGTCATGTCAAAAAAAAAGTATCCAGGTTTAAACACATATATTGTATATGTTGATGTATTGGCAACGTATTACACCATGTGAATCATTAAGCTAAAGATGAACTCTGAATTTTAACTTTTTTTTAGAAGTAATATTTTCTACTGCCTTGATCAAATATGAATTATTATCCTTGCCATTGATAGGAGACATCCTGAATTATAGGTGTGTGTTTTCATTTTTACTATGTGTCATTTCTCCTTGCTTAGAGGACAGCATAAGTAAAAAATGGCTCAACTTACCCCACTCCTCCCTAATGTGACTCTGATCCGGTTACTTGTGTGTTGGCAGATATTTCAGTAAGCTTTCTTAACGCTAATGTTATAATAGTCAGATTGCTCTGAAGATGGAGGTGATATTCTATTTCATGTTCACGTTCACACAGTCGGTGATTTGAACTACAACGGCAGTGTAAACTGTATTTCCTTTCTCCTGTAATATGACTTGATCGCGTTAAACTTTGCACACTGTTTTTATCAGCTTTTCCACCATGGTTGCTACCTGCGCAGTTGCGATCATCAACGTCTTGCTCGTGCGTTGCATGATGGTTAGTCATTTTTGTCCGACTTGCTCTGGAGGCTCGCCTACATGAGACGTTGAAATCTCGCGGGACAAAGACGCCCGCAGCCTTGAGAGCGAGGCGCGGCGAGGCGGCGCAGTTCCTCTCCACGGGCTGCGGAAGCGAAATGCTTGATGGGAAACGACTCGCTGGTATCTCGAGCTGAGCACTCATTGGTGGTTTTTACCCCGTGCTGCTGATGAAGCTCTCCCATTGGCTCGGCTAAAGTTTTGTTGTTGTTTTGTGTCAGTTTTACGGTCGCCACTGATCCATTCCCATTTTCATCATTGTTCCACAATGTTTATCATCATGAAATTAATATCTATATATTTGATACTATACTTGCACTGCTACCGTTTCATACTTTATATATCTAGTGTATTAATACACACTGTTCATACTGCTCACAGGCTGATTCTAGTGTATTCATACACACTGTTCATACTGCTCACAGGCTGATATCTAGTGTATTCATACCCCTCACTGTTTATTCATCATTCAATTCATTCTATATGTTATTCTGTAGATTGTGTACATTACTTTCACTTCACTGCTTGTTGCACCTGGTTAGAAGCTAAACTGCATTTCGTGTCTCAGTACCTGTAATCTGTGCAATAACAATAAAGTTGAATCTAATCTGGAGCAGGAACAAATGTATTTACTTAGTACATATCTGACATTAACGATTAAACACATGTGTGCATTCTTTATAAATGCAAACCGAGTCAAGCCGACTCCGGAGGTGGCGGTATGCACCTTAGATACCTCATTCACACCAACGTTGTTTAGGGCCGGTTCGGAGCTGGAGCTTGAAAAGCACCGGGGTTTCCTCTTCACACCGCAGCCGCCTCTTAGCTCCGGAATCCGGTTCGTTTCAAGCACCAACAAATTGTCCGGCCCGAGCAAAAGCACCACATACGTCACGCTTACGTCGAGGCGGGGGCAGAGACAGATCAACTCCTGAACAACAAAAAGCTCGCGTTTTATCCAGTTTGTACAACGATGGAGAAACTTAAGAGTTTCAGAGTTTCTGCCATAGACTGTATATATAAAGGTTTCTGCTCCTGGTGAAGCAACGTGTCTGCGTGTTAAGGTGGAACCTGAGCATTCACGTTGATCACCTCTCATTATAACTCATTATAAATCTATAAAACTATAAATATTAAACTTTACTTCACGTGTTCATTTGAGAACAGCTGTTACATACCTGGGTGAAGGTTACAGTTCATTTAAATGAAAGATACAACGTTACTCCACACTCAGGTTCAGTCCACCTTAAGAAATAAGACCGACCTCGGAAGCAGTTGTGTTTTTAAAAAACCTTTATTGACACGAGTACACTTTTTTATAAGAATATAACTAACCACAGAAATGACTCCGGAAAAGCTGCAGATAGAGCCATAAGAAATGAATGCAACTGATTTCATCCGTGCGGTTTGGCTTTATGAAGCAGGCACGCAAACGGTTACGTCATGACGCAAACGATGACGCAACACGCAGCCCTGGACTCTGGGCGGTGTGAAAAGAGCCAGAGCTAAACCGAAGAACTGGTTCTGAACCTGAAAAGCTCTAGCACGGAGCTTGAACCGGAGTTGCGTTGGTGTGAATGAGGTAAAAGTTGTTTGCAATCCGCCAAAAAAGAAGAAGAAGAAGAAGAAGAAGAAGAAGAAAAGAAGAAGAAGAAGAGAGAGAAGAAGAAGAAGAAGAAGAAGAAGAAGGAGAAGAAAAGAGAAAGAAGAAGAAGAAGAACTCGACCTGTCCGACTTCAGGCGAGCTTTTTGAGACCTCCCCCGGCTGCGATCGACTATTCTCGTCTACTTTCGAGGCGAGCCGCACCATAGACTGTATATATAATTGGACGTAGGGTCCGTGACGTCACCCATAGGATTCTGAAGAGTTGCCGTGAAGCCCTTAGTAGGCGGAGTCGGCCACTAACGGCTCGACTGTGACGTCAGAGTCTAATCCCGCCTGCTCCAAATAAGGGCAAAGAGGCGGAGCCGAGGCGGGACTTGCTGCCTCCGAACTGGAAGTAAACAGAGCTAGCTCAGGCTAAGAAGCTAAGCTAACATGAAATACATGCATACCAAGTTACTGCAAACAGTGTAGTTCCCCTATATAAACGTTACATTCATAATCAAATGAGACAATCTGCAAGAGAATTAGCTATATTTTGTTATTCTTAATGCTTGTCATTCACACGTTGAGAAAAGACGGACTCCACCGCCCGGACCTAACGGAGCCGCAGTGGGCTAGCTCCGGGACGCCGGCTAGAGCTAGCCCCCTGCGGCTCCGTTAGCTCCGGCGGCCACCACTGGGATAATTGGGTCCCCTATTAACATTTGCTCCGGTTTAGCATTATGGGCGTCATAGCCATAGACTATAAAAGTCTTACCCAAGGCTGAATCATAAACTAAAATGTATATGTATGCATAAAGGGTTACGTCCTTAGCTGGCTAATAAGTAGTAAGCTAAGCTACCAAGCACACAAACACCTGCGAACGGGGTTAACATGTAATAATATTATCATTTTAGACTTCTTGGAAGTTCTGTTAGTACATTCAAGCGCACAGTACAACATTTTAATTGTCTGGTATTTGTAACAATATTCCCTAAAAGGCAACGATCACCACGAACACGGCTAAAGGGTCAAGTACAAGTACTATGAACTAACTAACGTTGTAGCCTCTATGGTTGTAGCCTAGCAGAGTGGACAAGTTTGCTGTTAGCTGACAGTGAAGCATGTACATGTCCATCAAAGTGACCACGCCCTAATTTATGCAACAGCTTTAAGGCTTAATATTAATTAAACAGATGAGTTTGAGAAAAATGCACCCCCCCAATCCATATTCATGAAGGGGGAATCTAACTATACAGAGAATATGGTTTTTGAACCACGATGTAAACATGTTTATTTCTGCTGTAAAGTTGGGCATTTTAACATGGGGGTCTATGGAAATTGCTCCCTTCTGTAGCCTGCTCCTACTGGCCACTAGATGAACTGCAGTTTGAGACACTTCCGTATTAGCGTCCCCGGCTCTTCCCTAGAGTTTGCCGCTTGGGCCGACAATGCGTCTCAAACAAGCCTACTATGTTCTGTGACCGATACACGTGGTGAGAGTGCACACCCACTTTTAATCACAGTCAAAACCAGGGGCTCACATCAACTAAGTCCATTTCAATCAGAGACACGTTCCAATGTGATTTATTGTAAATAGTTAAATACGAAACAGAACATGGATCTTTTACCCAAGATCATCTATTAAATCAAAGCAACGCACAGATGCAACACTATGATGATTTTAAATAATGCACTTATGTGATTGGTCGAAAGTGGCAGAGGAAATCTGAAAGGCTCCCCCATAATTACCAAGAGAAAATCAAAATTGTTAGAAAAAGTCAGAATTGTTTCAAAATGACAGAATTCTTGGAAAAAAGTCAGATTTCTAAGAAAAAGTCAGATTCTATCTACTGGCACCATATCTTTGTCATGGTGGGATGGTGCATTTGTTTTTCAAATGAAATGTTTTGTGTAGTGCTGAAGTATGGCGGTATTCAAAAGTGTGTGTGTGTGTGTGTGTGTGTGTGTGGTGTGTGTGTGTGTGTGTGTGTGTGTGTGTGTGTGTGTGTGTGTGTGTGTGTGTGTGTGTGTGTGTGTGTGTGTGTGTGTATATGTGTGTGTGTGCGTTGAAAGGATAACTTCCTGTCCTGGCCTTTACTTTTCCCGTTAAATATTTTACTTTACCGGCTCATTAAACTCCAATAGAAAACCTTCCTGAGGGACAAAGAATATTCAAAAGCCATGGATGTCACGGTCGCTCTGCGTGTCAGCTGGGTTTTGCACACTAGTTGTGATTTGCCTAGATCTGAGCTGTGATTGGTGCAGCCAGTCTGTGAATCGAGTATTTTAAATATCATCTCCTGAAAACCCAGAGACTCAGCGCTGGCTTCCAATCCGTCATCATCCAAGGTGAGTGCTGGATTTGAATTGTATTCCTTGTTATTCCCTGTACTTTGAACTGAAGTCTTGCTTCCAGACTGCAGAGGGTTGAAGGGCAGCACTACAGTTCAGTTACCAGTAGAGTCAGGTGTTTAAGTGTTGGATAAAGAGCAGAGGTGGTAGAGTCGTACTCAAAGGTTGAAGCACTCTTTAACGAACTGTTTCATTGTAATTACATCTCCAAGGTAAATGATGAAATGCCTTTTGAAAAACTTTAGATAGTTTTAATCGTATCAATATGTCAAAATAACGTTTTACTGAGCTAAGAAAAAGCTGGCGTCGATGTCTTTTTTTATTCTAGAAAGTCAGAAGTAAAAAGGAATCATGTGAAGAAATAAAGTAGTATAGAAATAATCATTTTGCAATTTGAGATTTAGTTTAGTCAAAAATATCTTGTATACCAGTTTCATTACGATAATCCAATCATTTCAATAAAAGCAAAGCTGACATCAATAACATTTGCATGATTGACAATTGAATGCAATTCCCTTCAGAAAGTATTAGCCGAAACAAATAGTACTTGGTTTTTCATACAGAAATAAAAAATGTAAATCAATATTGAAATATGAAAATGAACGGTTTAACCTGCTGATACTTAGGTGCACACACGCACTGAGCTACTGCCGCCCAACCATAGCTCTGATAATGGTGGGATGTTCAAAGTTATTTTTGCAGACTACAAAGTATATATAAATATAAATGTGACTGCAGGTCTGTGGAAACCATGATGAGAAAAGCCTCCGTCCTGCTGCTGCTGTTTGCTGCCGTGTGCGGGTCTACTCTGAGACCTGGCTTTACATATTACAATGAACCGAAGACATGGAGCGAAGCACAGACCTTTTGCAGAGAACACCACAGTGATCTGGCCACCATCAGAGCCGGAGAAGAGTTGGAGGGTTCGTTTCATAATGACGTATGGATCGGTTTGTTCAAAACACTAAGACTCCGAGTGGAAATGGTCGGAAACAGACGAGATCGCCAACTTCACCAACTGGGCATTCGGTAAGTCTGGCTAGCACGAAACTTTAGGCTGTTAGGCTTTTAAAGAGTCCTCTCCTGCTGATGTTCAGGTGTATATCAGTATGTAGTGTCTCTACTTTAAAGAGTCCTCTCCTGCTGATGTTCAGGTGTATATCAGCATGTAGTGTCTCTACTTTAAAGAGTCCTCTCCTGCTGATGTTCAGGTGTATATCAGTATGTAGTGTCTCTACTTTAAAGAGTCCTCTCCTGCTGATGTTCAGGTGTTATATCAGTATGTAGTGTCTCTACTTTAAAGAGTCCTCTCTTGCTGATGTTCAGGTGTATATCAGTATGTAGTGTCTCTACTTTAAAGAGTCCTCTCTTGCTGATGTTCAGGTGTATATCAGTATGTAGTGTCTCTACTTTAAAGAGTCCTCTCCTGCTGATGTTCAGGTGTATATCAGTATGTAGTGTCTCTACTTTAAAGAGTCCTCTCCTGCTGATGTTCAGGTGTGTATCAGTATGTAGTGTCTCTACTTTAAAGAGTCCTCTCCTGCTGATGTTCAGGTGTATATCAGTATGTAGTGTCTCTACTTTAAAGAGTCCTCTCCTGCTGATGTTCAGGTGTATATCAGTATGTAGTGTCTCTACTTTAAAGAGTCCTCTCCTGCTGATGTTCAGGTGTATATCAGTATGTAGTGTCTCTACTTTAAAGAGTCCTCTCCTGCTGATGTTCAGGTGTATATCAGTATGTAGTGGTCTCTACTTTAAAGAGTCCTCTCCTGCTGATGTTCAGGTGTATATCAGTATGTAGTGTCTCTACTTTAAAGAGTCCTCTCCTGCTGATGTTCAGTTCAGGTGTATATCAGTATGTAAGTGTCTCTACTTTAAAGAGTCCTCTCCTGCTGATGTTCACCAACCTTCTCCTCACTTTCTATCAATAGTGTCTCTGAGTTAAAGCAAAAACTGAAAAATAAAGAAATGTTTCTGGTTTGTGAATCATGTCAAACACTTTTCTACTTCTTGCAGGTCAACCAAAACTCAATGATGATAAATGTGTTGTGATGTTCAAGCATAATCACAAATGGAATGACAAGCGATGTGACAGCAAGTTCAGTTTCTTGTGTTCCGATGAGAGTCTTGGTGAAGGAGAGGAAGACGTGGGATCAGGCTTTGAGGCACTGCAGGCTTCTGGAGGCTGAAACCCAAATGAGCCAGTGGACCTCACCTGGAACTACCGCTACGACCTGGCCTCCGTGCGCACTGAGGACGACCGCGCCTACGCACGCCCGAGGGCTGGAGAGGCTTCCACTGACCAGGTGACGGAGCTTTCCTACACAGAGTTTGTGTTTTAGAGCAACTCCTCCTGTGTGTTGACATTTTGCACACCGACATTTCTTCTAAGGCTGTCTTCGTTAACACTCGATCTTCATCTGGAAACATTAAGGAGTAGAAAAAGAAACACTAATGAATCCAGTTATCCAGCCTCCTATAAAACTAGCATGGTATCACAGTGTGAGTACTACCATACGAGTATATGTGTAGTACACATTATACGGAGGGCGATCACAGTGTGAATACTACCATACGAGTATATGTGTAGTACACATTATACAGAGGGTGATCACAGTATGAATACTACCATACGAGTATATGTGTAGTACACATTATACAGAGGGCGATCACAGTGTGAATACTACCATACGAGTATATGTGTAGTACACATTATACGGAGGGCGATCACAGTGTGAATACTACCATACGAGTATATGTGTAGTACACATTATACGGAGGGCGATCACAGTGTGAATACTACCATACGAGTATATGTGTAGTACACATTATACGGAGGGCGATCACAGTGTGAATACTACCATACGAGTATATGTGTAGTACACATTATACGGAGGGCGATCACAGTATGAATACTACCATACGAGTATATGTGTAGTACACATTATACGGAGGGCGATCACAGTGTGAATACTACCATACGAGTATATGTGTAGTACACATTATACGGAGGGTGATCACAGTGTGAATACTACCATACGAGTATATGTGTAGTACACATTATAGAGAGGGTGATCACAGTGTGAGTACTACCATACGAGTATATGTGTAGTACACATTATACGGAGGGTGATCACAGTGTGAATACTACCATACGGGTATATGTGTAGTACACATTATACGGAGGGCGATCACAGCAGCGTTGTCGATGCTTTCGCTCAGTGTCGGTTAATTGTCAGAGTTCATTCCAGTAATTCAGGAATCATGATCTAATAAACCTCCTTTATTAAAACACAATGACTACATTTTAAATCCACACCACACATGCATGGTCCTTGTTCAATAAAGACGTGTGTACATAAATATCTCACCTCTCTGCTAAATGTGGTCAGGTGTGGACGGGCCTGCGCTTCCTGGCGGGTCAGTGGTTCTGGACGGGCGATGGAGAAGCCGTGCAGGATGTGGACGAGGAGATGCAATGTGGCCGGACTCAGAGGTTCTGTGGCGTCCTGGTGAAGAACAGCACCAAGCGCTACGAGACGGAGGACTGCAGCAAGAAGCTGAACTTCCTCTGTTACAGGAAACCTTGAAACAATCAATCTGTAGAAAAGCTCTTCTCCCTCTTCTCAGGTTCAGGTTGTATTTATGTGATTACTGTAGGCTAGCTCAACTAGGCGTGGACTGTCCTTTCTATTGTTTCATCAACTTTAATAATACTTTTATATTGATATATTCTTTCTCTGATATGAAGGAATGATCCTGTACACAGGTCCACATATGTTCTTACATATTAAGGAAGTGATGTCCTTTTACTTGTATTATTAGTGTGTAACCTGAGTTTCCTGCATTATTACATTGCAGCTGTTCTTCACAGGAGGAGTTCCCCAGAGTCTGGATAGTTCATCAATGCATGTGTGCTATTTAGAAGAAAAGCATTCAGCATGAAAACACTGGAGTTTCATTTGGATGTGGAACAATCCTTTTCATAGGTTCAGTTTCAGATATATATATATATGTATGTTCCCCTGCTGTGGGACCTATAAAGGAATTCTGTTTCTGATATATTTATACAAATAAAAGTTCTACATTGAGTTTTGTCATTATTGGATAAACTTCTAATAATTGATAAACCTGCTAGCTAGCTGAACTCCTCCTGAGTTTGATTGATTACATTTAAATGGATCCTCCATGAGCATCGTTCACTTTTCCTCAGTGTTTATCAGGGAGTTGATCTGAACCATGGGGTCACTTGACATCATGGCCACCAGGGGGCGCTATGAGGCTTCAGAAAACCTTCTCTCAGTGGGATGAGACTCTTTCCTGACTCGTTCAGCTTCATGGAGATCAAGCTGCAGACATGATCCACCAGCACCACGTGTTATTCACCATACCATGCAACATGAGTGTTTACGAGATTCAAGGGTTTTATTATCAGATGCACAGCAGCTACAGTGTAGTGATGGCAAAGCAAATCTTCAAGCTCCTCCAAAAAGCAACATATTATATATGGGACATAATCAATCAATCAATCAATGTTTATTTATAGCCCAATATCACAAATGTTACATTTGTCTCAGTGGACTTTACAGTTTGTACAAAATATCAGTATGACAATACGACACCCTCTGTCCTTAGACCCTCTGTCCTTAGACCCTCTGACCTTAGACCCTCTGTCCTTAGACCCTCACATCGTACAAGGAAACACTTCCGGAGAAAACCCACAGTTTAAAGGGAACATGGGAGAAACCTCAGGGAGAGCAACAGAGGAGGGATCCCTCTCCCAGGACGGACAGACGTGCAATAGATGCCGTGTGTAAATTGAAAAGATAATACATTTGCAACATAGGTAGTCCAAATGTTTGGAAATGCATGTGTGTATAATAGGAAGATGAATCCACGAGGATATCCATCCAGGACCTATGATCCAGGACCACAGCCACGACTCAAGATCCAGGGCTCGCGATCCAGGACAGAGGAGCGCAGGATCATCCATGACTCCGGATCCCGGCGTATATAGACACCAAAAAGAAAGACATTTGGGGAAGCTGGGTTAATCGGAACATGAGAGTACACAGGTATAGACAGAGAGAAGGAAGAAGTAAGATGTCCCCCGACAAACTAAGCCTATATCAGCAAAACTAGGGGCTGGATCTAATCAGCCCTAACTATAAGCTTTATCAAAAAGGAAGGTCTTAAGACATAAGACAAACTATAAGTCTGCTGTGTGTTTTGAGGGGGACGTCCACTTCAAATACCCGAGATCCTGCAGGTATGTATTGGAAGTGGACATCCTCTCTGAAGTCACTACCGTGCATTGGAAGTGGGCGGCACACTCTGAAATGTACAGGACCGTATCTCAACGATGCATCGACACAAGGAGCTGTTACTCAGACTGTGCTATGCAGGCCATCTGAAGATGTATTGATGTGAAAATGGAGACAATTGGACAATTTCAAATAGTAAGCTCTCTTGCAGGGCCTCCAAAGTACAGGGACACGTGGGGGTCACACCCACTACTACCCATTATGGGACGTATTTCTTCTTTATATACATTTTCCTTCATACTTTATTGCCGTGAAATAGGTCTTAAATTCTATTCAAAGTGGTCTTAAAAAGGTGTTAAAAAGTCTTACATTTGAGTTGGCGAAACCTGCAGGAACCCTGTACAATAAAAAGTCCTGCATTCAAAATGTTACAAGTAAAAGTACAAAAGTATTAGCATCAAAATATAGTTAAAGTACCACCTGCAGAGGGATCTAGATGCAGGTGTTCTCTTCCCCATAGAGACCGCCTCGCTGCACATTATCCCTTGCATAAAGATAGATTGTGGGTCCCTTATAACATGTTGTACACAGTGGAAATAAACATTCTGGTTACCTCAACATCAGGGATCTTATACATTAAACTCCTTCTGAATCAAACCGTCACGGTAGCCTTACCTTACTGATCCCTCTTAAATTAGAAAAACACACGTTACTTTACCAGCAGAGAGAAAATGGATTATTAAATTATTAATGTGACTAATAAAGAGCAGTTTGATTATTAAGTATTATTCTGTTGATCGATGTCATTACATTTGGTGAAAAACACATAATGACTTGTTTATGACTCGTTTTGTCAAAGTTTAGGACTTGACTTGACTTGAACTTGCCCATCCTGACTTGAGACTTGACTTGGACTTGCAAAACAATGACTTGAGACTTGACTCGGACTTGAGCGCAAAGACTTGAGATTTGACTCGGACTTGAAAAACAATGACTTGGTCCCACCTCTGCTGATTAGACAGCATGATTATTGCACAGGTGTGCCTTAGGCTGGCCACAATAAAAGGCCACTCTGAAACGTGCAGTTCTGCTTTATTGAGAGGTCTGGGGGGGGTCCGAAAACCAGTCAGTATCTGGTGAGACCACCATTTGCCTCACGCAGTGCAACACATCTCCTTCGCATAGAGTTGATCAGGTTGTTGATTGTGGCCTGTGGAAAGTTGGACCAGTGGGTTAGTTGAGCCAGTGGGTTAGTTGAGCCAGTGGGTTAGTTGAGCCAGTGGGTTAGTTGAACCAGTGGGTTAGTTGAGCCAGTGGGTTAGTTGAACCAGTGGGTTAGTTGAGCCAGTGGGTTAGTTGAGCCAGTGGGTTAGTTGAGCCAGTGGGTTAGTTGAGCCAGTGGGTTAGTTGAGCCAGTGGGTTAGTTGAACAAGTGGGTTAGTTGAGCCAGTGGGTTAGTTGAGCCAGTGGGTTAGTTGAGCCAGTGGGTTAGTTGAACCAGTGGGTTAGTTGAACCAGTGGGTTAGTTGAGCCAGTGGGTTAGTTGAGCCAGTGGGTAAGTTGAACCAGTGGGTTAGTTGAACCAGTGGGTTAGTTGAGCCAGTGGGTTAGTTGAACCAGTGGGTTAGTTGAGCCAGTGGGTTAGTTGAACCAGTGGGTTAGTTGAGCCAGTGGGTTAGTTGAACCAGTGGGTTAGTTGAGCCAGTGGGTTAGTTGAACCAGTGGGTTAGTTGAACCAGTGGGTTAGTTGAGCCAGTGGGTTAGTTGAGCCAGTGGGTAAGTTGAACCAGTGGGTTAGTTGAACCAGTGGGTAAGTTGAACCAGTGGGTTAGTTGAGCCAGTGGGTTAGTTGAACCAGTGGGTAAGTTGAACCAGTGGGTAAGTTGAACCAGTGGGTAGTTGAGCAGTGGTTGTTGAACCAGTGGGGTTAGTTGAGCCAGTGGGTTAGTTGAACCAGTGGGTTAGTTGAACCAGTGGGTTAGTTGAGCCAGTGGGTTAGTTGAGCCAGTGGGTTAGTTGAACCAGTGGGTTAGTTGAGCCAGTGGGTTAGTTGAACCAGTGGGTTAGTTGAGCCAGTGGGTTAGTTGAACCAGTGGGTTAGTTGAGCCAGTGGGTTAGTTGAACCAGTGGGTTAGTTGAGCCAGTGGGTTAGTTGAACCAGTGGGTTAGTTGAGCCAGTGGGTTAGTTGAGCCAGTGGGTCAGTTGAGCCAGTGGGTTAGTTGAGCCAGTGGGTTAGTTGAACCAGTGGGTTAGTTGAACCAGTGGGTTAGTTGAACCAGTGGGTTAGTTGAGCCAGTGGGTAAGTTGAACCAGTGGGTTGGTTGAACCAGTGGGTTAGTTGAGCCAGTGGGTAAGTTGAACCAGTGGGTAAGTTGAACCAGTGGGTTAGTTGAACCAGTGGGTTAGTTGAACCAGTGGGTTAGTTGAACCAGTGGGTTAGTTGAACCAGTGGGTTAGTTGAACCAGTGGGTTAGTTGAGCCAGTGGGTAAGTTGAACCAGTGGGTTAGTTGAGCCAGTGGGTAAGTTGAACCAGTGGGTAAGTTGAACCAGTGGGTTAGTTGAACCAGTGGGTTAGTTGAACCAGTGGGTTAGTTGAACTACCCCCTGTAACCAGGCAACGCCCTATAGTTGTAATCAAGTGACCAGAAAGTATGCAAGCTCCACCCATTTCTCATTGCCTGTGAAAGAGAGATCCTCATTGTGTTCTAGTAACTACAAAGGTTTACAAAAAAACGTTTTTTGCTTGTCAAAGTAAATTTCTAGATGTCAGCTTATCGGCTGTCATGTAAAAAAAAAAAGTATCCAGGTTTAAACACATATATTGTATATGTTGATGTATTGGCAACGTATTACACCATGTGAATCATTAAGCTAAAGATGACTCTGAATTTTAACTTTTTTTTAGAAGTAATATTTTCACTGCCTTGATCAAATATGAATTATTATCCTTGCCATTGATAGGAGACATCCTGAATTATAGGTGTGTGTTTTCATTTTACTATGTGTCATTTCTCCTTGCTTAGAGGACAGCATAAGTAAAAAATGGCTCAACTTACCCCACTCTCCCTAATGTGACTCTGATCCGGTTACTTGTGTTGTGGCAGATATTTCAGTAAGCTTTCTTAACGCTAATGTTATAATAGTCAGATTGCTCTGAAGATGGAGGTGATATTCTATTCATGTTCACGTTCACACAGTCGGTGATTTGAACTACAACGGCAGTGTAAACTGTATTTCCTTTCTCCTGTAATATGACTTGATCGCGTTAAACTTTGCACACTGTTGTTATCAGCTTTTCCACCATGGTTGCTACCTGCGCAGTTGCGATCAACGTCTTGCTCGTGCGTTGCATGATGGTTAGTCATTTTGTCCGACTTGCTCTGGAGGCTCGCCTACATGAGACGTTGAAATCTCGCGGGACAAAGACGCCCGCAGCCTTGAGAGCGAGGCGCGGCGAGGCGGCGCAGTTCCTCTCCACGGGCTGCGGAAGCGAAATGCTTGATGGGAAACGACTCGCTGGTATCTCGAGCTGAGCGCTCATTGGTGGTTTTTACCCCGTGCTGCTGATGAAGCTCTCCCATTGGCTCGGCTAAAGTTTGTTGTTGTTTTGTGTCAGTTTTACGTCGCCACTTCCATTCCCATTTTTCATCATTGTTCCACAATGTTTATCATCATGAAATTAATATCTATATATTTGATACTATACTTGCACTGCTTACCGTTTCATACTTTATATATCTAGTGTATTAATACACACTGTTCATACTGCTCACAGGCTGATATCTAGTGTATTCATACACACTGTTCATACTGCTCACAGGCTGATATCTAGTGTATTCATACCCCTCACTGTTTATTCATCATTCAATTCATTCTATATGTTATTCTGTAGATTGTGTACATTACTTTTCACTTCACTGCTTGTTGCACCTGGTTAGAAGCTAAACTGCATTTCGTTGTCTCAGTACCTGTAATCTGTGCAATAACAATAAAGTTGAATCTAATCTGGAGCAGGAACAAATGTATTTACTTAGTACATATCTGACATTAACGATTAAACACATGTGTGCATTCTTTATAAATGCAAACCGAGTCAAGCCGACTCCGGAGGTGGCGGTATGCACCTTAGATACCTCATTCACACCAACGTTGTTTAGGGCCGGTTCGGAGCTGGAGCTTGAAAAGCACCGGGGTTTCCTCTTCACACCGCAGCCGCCTCTTAGCTCCGGAATCCGGTTCGTTTCAAGCACCAACAAATTGTCCGGCCCGAGCAAAAGCACCACATACGTCACGCTTACGTCGAGGCGGGGGCAGAGACAGATCAACTCCTGAACAACAAAAAGCCCGCGTTTTATCCAGTTTGTACAACGATGGAGAAACTTAAGAGTTTCAGAGTTTCTGCCATAGACTGTATATATAAAGGTTTCTGCTCATGGTGAAGCAACGTGTCTGCGTGTTAAGGTGGAACCTGAGCATTCACGTTGATCACCTCTCATTATAACTCATTATAAATCTATAAAACTATAAATATTAAACTTTACTTCACGTGTTCATTTGAGAACAGCTGTTACATACCTGGGTGAAGGTTACAGTTCATTTAAATGAAAGATACAACGTTACTCCACACTCATGGTTCAGTCCACCTTAAGAAATAAGACCGACCTCGGAAGCAGTTGTGTTTTAAAAAAACCTTTATTGACACGAGTACACTTTTTTATAAGAATATAACTAAACCACAGAAATGACTCCGGAAAAGCTGCAGATAGAGCCATAAGAAATGAATGCAACTGATTTCATCCGTGCGGTTTGGCTTTATGAAGCAGGCACGCAAACGGTTACGTCATGACGCAAACGATGACGCAACACGCAGCACCAGTCGGACTCTGGGCGGTGTGAAAAGAGCCAGAGCTAAACCGAAGAACTGGTTCTGAACCTGAAAAGCTCTAGCACGGAGCTTGAACCGGAGTTGCGTTGGTGTGAATGAGGTAAAAGTTGTTGCAATCCGCCAAAAAGAAGAAGAAGAAGAAGAAGAAGAAGAAGAAGAAGAAGAGAAGAAGAAGAAGAAAGAAGAAGAAGAAGAAGAAGAAGAAGAAGAAGAGAAGAAGAAGAAGAAGAAGAAGAATAAGAAGAAGAAGAAGAAGAAGAAGAAGAAAGAAGAAGAAGAAGAAGACTCGGAGCTGTCCGACTTCAGGCGAGCTTTTTGAGACCTCCCCCGGCTGCGATCGACTATTCTCGTCTACTTTCGAGGCGAGCCGCAACCATAGACTGTATATATAATTGGACGTAGGGTCCGTGACGTCACCCATAGGATTCTGAAGAGTTGCCGTGAAGCCCTTAGTAGGCGGAGTCGGCCACTAACGGCTCGACAGTGACGCCAGAGTCTAATCCCGCCTGCTCCAAATAAGGGCAAAGAGGCGAAGCCGAGGCGGGACTTGCTGCCTCCGAACTGGAAGTAAACAGAGCTAGCTCAGGCTAAGAAGCTAAGCTAACATGAAATACATGCATACCAAGTTACTGCAAACAGTGTAGTTCCCCTATATAAACGTTACATTCATAATCAAATGAGACAATCTGCAAGAGAATTAGCTATATTTTGTTATTCTTGATGCTTGTCATTCACACGTTGAGAAAAGACGGACTCCACCGCCCGGACCTAACGGAGCCGCAGTGGGCTAGCTCCGGGACGCCGGCTGGAGCTAGCCCCCTGCGGCTCCGTTAGCTCCGATGGCCACCACTGGGATAATTGGGTCCCCTATTAACATTTGCTCCCGTTTAGCATTATGGGCGTCATAGCCATAGACTATAAAAGTCTTACCCAAGGCTGAATCATAAACTAAAATGTATATGTATGCATAAAGGGTTACGTCCTTAGCTGGCTAATAAGTAGTAAGCTAAGCTACCAAGCACACAAACACCTGCGAACGGGGTTAACATGTATAATATTATCATTTTAGACTTCTTGGAAGTTCTGTTAGTACATTCAAGCGCACAGTACAACATTTTAATTGTCTGGTATTTGTAACAATATTCCCTAAAAGGCACAATCACCACGAACACGGCTAAAGGGTCAAGTACAGTACTATGACTAACTAACGTCGTAGCCTCTATGGTTGTAGCCTAGCAGAGTGGACAAGTTGCTGTTAGCTGACAGTGAAGCATGTACATGTCCATCAAAGTGACCACGCCCTAATTTATGCAACAGCTTTAAGGCTTAATATTAATTAAACAGATGAGTTGAGAAAAAATGCACCCCCCCCAATCCATATTCATGAAGGGGGAATCTAACTATACAGAGAATATGGTTTTTTGAACCACGATGTAAACATGTTTATTTCTGCTGTAAAGTTGGGCATTTTAACATGGGGGTCTATGGAAATTGCTCCCTTCTGTAGCCTGCTCCTACTGGCCACTAGATGAACTGCAGTTTGAGACACTTCCGTATTAGCGTCCCGGCTCTTCCCTAGAGTTTGCCGCTTGGCCGCAATGCGTCTCAAACAAGCCTACTATGTTCTGTGACCGATCACGTGGTGAGAGTGCACACCCACTTTTAATCACAGTCAAAACCAGGGGCTCACATCAACTAAGTCCATTTCAATCAGAGACACGTTCCAATGTGATTTATTGTAAATAGTTAAATACGGAAACAGAACATGGATCTTTTACCCAAGATCATCTATTAAATCAAAGCAACGCACAGATGCAACACTATGATGATTTTAAATAATGCACTTATGTGATTGGTCGAAAGTGGCAGAGGAAATCTGAAAGGCTCCCGATAATTACAAGAGAAAATCAAAATTGTTAGAAAAAGTCAGAATTGTTCAAAATGACAGAATTCTTGGAAAAAAGTCAGATTTCTAAGAAAAAGTCAGAATTCTACTGGCACCATATCTTTGTCATGGTGGGATGGTGCATTTGTTTTTCAAATGAAATGTTTTGTGTAGTGCTGAAGTATGGCGGTATTCAAAAGTGTGTGTGTGTGTGTGTGTGTGTGTGTGTGTGTGTGTGTGTGTGTGTGTGTGTGTATATGTGTGTGTGTGCGTTGAAAGGATAACTTCCTGTCCTGCCTTTACTTTTCCCGTTAAATATTTTACTTTACCGGCTCATTAAACTCCAATAGAAACCTTCCTGAGGGACAAAGAATATTCAAAAAGCCATGGATGTCACGGTCGCTCTGCGTGTCAGCTGGGTTTTGCACACTAGTTGTGATTTGCCTAGATCTGAGCTGTGATTGGTGCAGCCAGTCTGTGAATCGAGTATTTTAAATATCATCTCCTGAAAACCCAGAGACTCAGCGCTGGCTTCCAATCCGTCATCATCCAAGGTGAGTGCTGGATTTGAATTGTATTCCTTGTTATTCCCTGTACTTTGAACTGAAGTCTTGCTTCCAGACTGCAGAGGGTTGAAGGGCAGCACTACAGTTCAGTTACCAGTAGAGTCAGGTGTTTAAGTGTTGGATAAAGAGCAGAGGTGGTAGAGTCGTACTCAAAGGTTGAAGCACTCTTTAACGAACTGTTTCATTGTAATTACATCTCCAAGGTAAATGATGAAATGCCTTTTGAAAAACTTTGGATAGTTTTAATCGTATCAATATGTCAAAATAACGTTTTACTGAGCTAAGAAAAAGCTGGCGTCGATGTCTTTTTTTATTCTAGAAAGTCAGAAGTAACAAGGAATCATGTGAAGAAATAAAGTAGTATAGAAATAATCATTTTGCAATTTGAGATTTAGTTTAGTCAAAAATATCTTGTATACCAGTTTCATTACGATAATCCAATCATTTCAATAAAAGCAAAGCTGACATCAATAACATTTGCATGATTGACAATTGAATGCAATTCCCTTCAGAAAGTATTAGCCGAAACAAATAGTACTTGGTTTTTTCATACAGAAATAAAAAATGTAAATCAATATTGAAATATGAAAATGAACGGTTTAAACCTGCTGATACTTAGGTGCACACACGCACTGAGCTACTGCCGCCCAACCATAGCTCTGATAATGGTGGGATGTTCAAAGTTATTTTTGCAGACTACAAAGTATATATAAATATAAATGTGACTGCAGGTCTGTGGAAACCATGATGAGAAAAGCCTCCGTCCTGCTGCTGCTGTTTGCTGCCGTGTGCGGGTCTACTCTGAGACCTGGCTTTACATATTACAATGAACCGAAGACATGGAGCGAAGCACAGACCTTTTGCAGAGAACACCACAGTGATCTGGCCACCATCAGAGCCGGAGAAGAGTTGGAGGGTTCGTTTCATAATGACGTATGGATCGGTTTGTTCAAAAACACTAAAGACTCCGAGTGGAAATGGTCGGAAACAGACGAGATCGCCAACTTCACCAACTGGGCATTCGGTAAGTCTGGCTAGCACGAAACTTTAGGCTGTTAGGCTTTTAAAGAGTCCTCTCCTGCTGATGTTCAGGTGTATATCAGTATGTAGTGTCTCTACTTTAAAGAGTCCTCTCCTGCTGATGTTCAGGTATATATCAGTATGTAATGTCTCTACTTTAAAGAGTCCTCTCCTGCTGATGTTCAGGTGTATATCAGTATGTAGTGTCTCTACTTTAAAGAGTCCTCTCTTGCTGATGTTCAGGTGTATATCAGTATGTAGTGTCTCTACTTTAAGAGTCCTCTCTTGCTGATGTTCAGGTGTATATCAGTATGTAGTGTCTCTACTTTAAAGAGTCCTCTCCTGCTGATGTTCAGGTGTATATCAGTATGTAGTGTCTCTACTTTAAAGAGTCCTCTCCTGCTGATGTTCAGGTGTGTATCAGTATGTAGTGTCTCTACTTTAAAGAGTCCTCTCCTGCTGATGTTCAGGTGTATATCAGTATGTAGTGTCTCTACTTTAAAGAGTCCTCTCCTGCTGATGTTCAGGTGTATATCAGTATGTAGTGTCTCTACTTTAAAGAGTCCTCTCCTGCTGATGTTCAGGTGTATATCAGTATGTAGTGTCTCTACTTTAAAGAGTCCTCTCCTGCTGATGTTCACCAACCTTCTCCTCACTTTCTATCAATAGTGTCTCTGAGTTAAAGCAAAAACTGAAAAATAAAGAAATGTTTCTGGTTTGTGAATCATGTCAAACACTTTTTCTACTTCTTGCAGGTCAACCAAAACTCAATGATGATAAATGTGTTGTGATGTTCAAGCATAATCACAAATGGAATGACAAGCGATGTGACAGCAAGTTCAGTTTCTTGTGTTCCGATGAGAGTCTGGTGAAGGAGAGGAAGACGTGGGATCAGGCTTTGAGGCACTGCAGGCTTCTGGAGGCTGAAAACCCAAATGAGCCAGTGGACCTCACCTGGAACTACCGCTACGACCTGGCCTCCGTGCGCACTGAGGACGACCGCGCCTACGCACGCCCGAGGGCTGGAGAGGCTTCCACTGACCAGGTGACGGAGCTTTCTACACAGAGTTTGTGTTTTAGAGCAACTCCTCCTGTGTGTTGACATTTTGCACACCGACATTTCTTCTAAGGCTGTCTTCGTTAACACTCGATCTTCATCTGGAAACATTAAGGAGTAGAAAAAGAAACACTAATGAATCCAGTTATCCAGCCTCCTATAAAACTAGCATGGTATCACAGTGTGAGTACTACCATACGAGTATATGTGTAGTACACATTATACGGAGGGCGATCACAGTGTGAATACTACCATACGAGTATATGTGTAGTACACATTATACAGAGGGTGATCACAGTATGAATACTACCATACGAGTATATGTGTAGTACACATTATACAGAGGGTGATCACAGTGTGAATACTACCATACGAGTATATGTGTAGTACACATTATACGGAGGGCGATCACAGTGTGAATACTACCATACGAGTATATGTGTAGTACACATTATACGGAGGGCGATCACAGTGTGAATACTACCATACGAGTATATGTGTAGTACACATTATACGGAGGGCGATCACAGTGTGAATACTACCATACGAGTATATGTGTAGTACACATTATACGGAGGGCGATCACAGTATGAATACTACCATACGAGTATATGTGTAGTACACATTATACGGAGGGCGATCACAGTGTGAATACTACCATACGAGTATATGTGTAGTACACATTATACGGAGGGTGATCACAGTGTGAATACTACCATACGAGTATATGTGTACTACACATTATACGGAGGGTGATCACAGTGTGAATACTACCATACGAGTATATGTGTAGTACACATTATACGGAGGGCGATCACAGCAGCGTTGTCGATGCTTTCGCTCAGTGTCGGTTAATTGTCAGAGTTCATTCCAGTAATTCAGGAATCATGATCTAATAAACCTCCTTTATTAAAACACAATGACTACATTTTAAATCCACACCACACATGCATGGTCCTTGTTCAATAAAGACGTGTGTACATAAATATCTCACCTCTCTGCTAAATGTGGTCAGGTGTGGACGGGCCTGCGCTTCCTGGCGGGTCAGTGGTTCTGGACGGGCGATGGAGAAGCCGTGCAGGATGTGGACGAGGAGATGCAATGTGGCCGGACTCAGAGGTTCTGTGGCGTCCTGGTGAAGAACAGCACCAAGCGCTACGAGACGGAGGACTGCAGCAAGAAGCTGAACTTCCTCTGTTACAGGAAACCTTGAAACAATCAATCTGTAGAAAAGCTCTTCTCCCTCTTCTCAGGTTCAGGTTGTATTTATGTGATTACTGTAGGCTAGCTCAACTAGGCGTGGACTGTCCTTTCTATTGTTTCATCAACTTTAATAATACTTTTATATTGATATATTCTTTCTCTGATATGAAGGAATGATCCTGTACACAGGTCCACATATGTTCTTACATATTAAGGAAGTGATGTCCTTTTACTTGTATTATTAGTGTGTAACCTGAGTTTCCTGCATTATTACATTGCAGCTGTTCTTCACAGGAGGAGTTCCCCAGAGTCTGGATAGTTCATCAATGCATGTGTGCTATTTAGAAGAAAAGCATTCAGCATGAAAACACTGGAGTTTCATTTGGATGTGGAACAATCCTTTTCATAGGTTCAGTTTCAGATATATATATATGTATGTTCCCCTGCTGTGGGACCTATAAAGGAATTCTGTTTCTGATATATTTATACAAATAAAAGTTCTACATTGAGTTTTGTCATTATTGGATAAACTTCTAATAATTGATAAACCTGCTAGCTAGCTGAACTCCTCCTGAGTTTGATTGATTACATTTAAATGGATCCTCCATGAGCATCGTTCACTTTTCCTCAGTGTTTATCAGGGAGTTGATCTGAACCATGGGGTCACTTAACATCATGGCCACCAGGGGGCGCTATGAGGCTTCAGAAAACCTTCTCTCAGTGGGATGAGACTCTTTCCTGACTCGTTCAGCTTCATGGAGATCAAGCTGCAGACATGATCCACCAGCACCACGTGTTATTCACCATACCATGCAACATGAGTGTTTACGAGATTCAAGGGTTTTATTATCAGATGCACAGCAGCTACAGTGTAGTGATGGCAAAGCAAATCTTCAAGCTCCTCCAAAAAGCAACATATTATATATGGGACATAATCAATCAATCAATCAATGTTTATTTATAGCCCAATATCACAAATGTTACATTTGTCTCAGTGGACTTTACAGTTTGTACAAAATATCAGTATGACAATACGACACCCTCTGTCCTTAGACCCTCTGTCCTTAGACCCTCTGACCTTAGACCCTCTGTCCTTAGACCCTCACATCGTACAAGGAAACACTTCCGGAGAAAACCCACAGTTTAAAGGGAACATGGGAGAAACCTCAGGGAGAGCAACAGAGGAGGGATCCCTCTCCCAGGACGGACAGACGTGCAATAGATGCCGTGTGTAAATTGAAAAGATAATACATTTGCAACATAGGTAGTCCAAATGTTTGGAAATGCATGTGTGTATAATAGGAAGATGAATCCACGAGGATATCCATCCAGGACCTATGATCCAGGACCACAGCCACGACTCAAGATCCAGGGCTCGCGATCCAGGACAGAGGAGCGCAGGATCATCCATGACTCCGGATCCCGGCGTATATAGACACCAAAAAGAAAGACATTTGGGGAAGCTGGGTTAATCGGAACATGAGAGTACACAGGTATAGACAGAGAGAAGGAAGAAGGAAGATGTCCCCCGACAAACTAAGCCTATATCAGCAAAACTAGGGGCTGAATCTAATCAGCCCTAACTATAAGCTTTATCAAAAAGGAAGGTCTTAAGACATAAGACAAACTATAAGTCTGCTGTGTGTTTTGAGGGGGACGTCCACTTCAAATACCCGAGATCCTGCAGGTATGTATTGGAAGTGGACATCCTCTCTGAAGTCACTACCGTGCATTGGAAGTGGGCGGCACACTCTGAAATGTACAGGACCGTATCTCAACGATGCATCGACACAAGGAGCCGTTACTCAGACTGTGCTATGCAGGCCATCTGAAGATGTATTGATGTGAAAATGGAGACAATTGGACAATTTCAAATAGTAAGCTCTCTTGCAGGGCCTCCAAAGTACAGGGACACGTGGGGGTCACACCCACTACTACCCATTATGGGACGTATTTCTTCTTTATATACATTTTCCTTCATACTTTATTGCCGTTAAATAGGTCTTAAATTCTATTCAAAGTGGTCTTAAAAAGGTGTTAAAAAGTCTTACATTTGAGTTGGCGAAACCTGCAGGAACCCTGTACAATAAAAAGTCCTGCATTCAAAATGTTACAAGTAAAAGTACAAAAGTATTAGCATCAAAATATAGTTAAAGTACCACCTGCAGAGGGATCTAGATGCAGGTGTTCTTTATAGAGACCGCCTCGCTGCACATTATCCCTTGCATAAAGATAGATTGTGGGTCCCTTATAACATGTTGTACACAGTGGAAATAAACATTCTGGTTACCTCAACATCAGGGATCTTATACATTAAACTCCTTCTGAATCAAACCGTCACGGTAGCCTTACCTTACTGATCCCTCTTAAATTAGAAAAACACACGTTACTTTACCAGCAGAGAGAAAATGGATTATTAAATTATTAATGTGACTAATAAAGAGCAGTTTGATTATTAAGTATTATTCTGTTGATCGATGTCATTACATTTGGTGAAAAACACATAATGACTTGTTTATGACTCGTTTTGTCAAAGTTTAGGACTTGACTTGACTTGAACTTGCCCATCCTGACTTGAGAATTGACTTGGACTTGCAAAACAATGACTTGAGACTTGACTCGGACTTGAGCGCAAAGACTTGAGACTTGACTCGGACTTGCAAAACAATGACTTGGTCCCACCTCTGCTGATTAGACAGCATGATTATTGCACAGGTGTGCCTTAGGCTGGCCACAATAAAAGGCCACTCTGAAACGTGCAGTTCTGCTTTATTGAGAGGTCTGGGGGGGGTCCGAAAACCAGTCAGTATCTGGTGTGACCACCATTTGCCTCACGCAGTGCAACACATCTCCTTCGCATAGAGTTGATCAGGTTGTTGATTGTGGCCTGTGGAAAGTTGGACCAGTGGGTTAGTTGAGCCAGTGGGTTAGTTGAGCCAGTGGGTTAGTTGAACCAGTGGGTTAGTTGAGCCAGTGGGTTAGTTGAACCAGTGGGTTAGTTGAGCCAGTGGGTTAGTTGAGCCAGTGGGTTAGTTGAGCCAGTGGGTTAGTTGAGCCAGTGGGTTAGTTGAACCAGTGGGTTAGTTGAACCAGTGGGTTAGTTGAGCCAGTGGGTTAGTTGAGCCAGTGGGTTAGTTGAGCCAGTGGGTTAGTTGAACCAGTGGGTAAGTTGAACCAGTGGGTTAGTTGAGCCAGTGGGTTAGTTGAACCAGTGGGTAAGTTGAACCAGTGGGTTAGTTGAGCCAGTGGGTTAGTTGAGCCAGTGGGTTAGTTGAACCAGTGAGTTAGTTGAACCAGTGGGTTAGTTGAACCAGTGGGTTAGTTGAGCCAGTGGGTTAGTTGAGCCAGTGGGTTAGTTGAGCCAGTGGGTTAGTTGAGCCAGTGGGTTAGTTGAACCAGTGGGTTAGTTGAACCAGTGGGTAAGTTGAACCAGTGGGTTAGTTGAACCAGTGGGTTAGTTGAGCCAGTGGGTTAGTTGAACCAGTGGGTTAGTTGAGCCAGTGGGTTAGTTGAGCCAGTGGGTTAGTTGAGCCAGTGGGTTAGTTGAGCCAGTGGGTTAGTTGAGCCAGTGGGTTAGTTGAACCAGTGGGTTAGTTGAACCAGTGGGTTAGTTGAGCCAGTGGGTTAGTTGAGCCAGTGGGTAAGTTGAACCAGTGGGTTAGTTGAACCAGTGGGTTAGTTGAACCAGTGGGTAAGTTGAACCAGTGGGTTAGTTGAGCCAGTGGGTTAGTTGAACCAGTGGGTAAGTTGAACCAGTGGGTTAGTTGAACCAGTGGGTTAGTTGAGCCAGTGGGTTAGTTGAACCAGTGGGTTAGTTGAGCCAGTGGGTTAGTTGAACCAGTGGGTTAGTTGAGCCAGTGGGTTAGTTGAGCCAGTGGGTCAGTTGAGCCAGTGGGTTAGTTGAGCCAGTGGGTTAGTTGAACCAGTGGATTAGTTGAACCAGTGGGTTAGTTGAGCCAGTGGGTAAGTTGAACCAGTGGGTAAGTTGAACCAGTGGGTTAGTTGAACCAGTGGGTTAGTTGAGCCAGTGGGTAAGTTGAACCAGTGGGTTAGTTGAGCCAGTGGGTCAGTTGAGCCAGTGGGTTAGTTGAACCAGTGGGTTAGTTGAACCAGTGGGTTAGTTGAACCAGTGGGTTAGTTGAACCAGTGGGTTAGTTGAGCCAGTGGGTAAGTTGAACCAGTGGGTTAGTTGAACCAGTGGGTTAGTTGAGCCAGTGGGTAAGTTGAACCAGTGGGTAAGTTGAACCAGTGGGTTAGTTGAACCAGTGGGTTAGTTGAACCACCCCCTGTAACCAGGCAACGCCCTATAGTTGTAATCAAGTGACCAGAAAGTATGCAAGCTCCACCCATTTCTCATTGCCTGTGAAAGAGAGATCCTCATTGTGTTCTAGTAACTACAAAGGTTTACAAAAAAACGTTTTTTGCTTGTCAAAGTAAATTTCTAGATGTCAGCTTATCGGCTGTCATGTAAAAAAAAAAGTATCCAGGTTTAAACACATATATTGTATATGTTGATGTATTGGCAACGTATTACACCATGTGAATCATTAAGCTAAAGATGACTCTGAATTTTAACTTTTTTTTAGAAGTAATATTTTCACTGCCTTGATCAAATATGAATTCTTATCCTTGCCATTGATAGGAGACATCCTGAATTATAGGTGTGTGTTTTCATTTTTACTATGTGTCATTTCTCCTTGCTTAGAGGACAGCATAAGTAAAAAATGGCTCAACTTACCCCACTCTCCCTAATGTGACTCTGATCCGGTTACTTGTGTTGTGGCAGATATTTCAGTAAGCTTTCTTAACGCTAATGTTATAATAGTCAGATTGCTCTGAAGATGGAGGTGATATTCTATTCATGTTCACGTTCACACAGTCGCTGATTTGAACTACAACGGCAGTGTAAACTGTATTTCCTTTCTCCTGTAATATGACTTGATCGCGTTAAACTTTGCACACTGTTGTTATCAGCTTTTCCACCATGGTTGCTACCTGCGCAGTTGCGATCAACGTCTTGCTCGTGCGTTGCATGATGGTTAGTCATTTTGTCCGACTTGCTCTGGAGGCTCGCCTACATGAGACGTTGAAATCTCGCGGGACAAAGACGCCCGCAGCCTTGAGAGCGAGGCGCGGCGAGGCGGCGCAGTTCCTCTCCACGGGCTGCGGAAGCGAAATGCTTGATGGGAAACGACTCGCTGGTATCTCGAGCTGAGCACTCATTGGTGGTTTTTACCCCGTGCTGCTGATGAAGCTCTCCCATTGGCTTGGCTAAAGTTTGTTGTTGTTTTGTGTCAGTTTTACGTCGCCACTTCCATTCCCATTTTTCATCATTGTTCCACAATGTTTATCATCATGAAATTAATATCTATATATTTGATACTATACTTGCACTGCTTACCGTTTCATACTTTATATATCTAGTGTATTAATACACACTGTTCATACTG